GGAAGTGCAGGAGAAAAAAAGAAGAAGTAAAGTCTAATAATGAGGAAGTATGGAGTCAAAATCTAGTTCATTAACTAGAGGAAGTGCAGGAGAAAAAAAGAAGAAGTAAAGTCTAATAATGAGGAAGTATGGAGTCAAAATCTAGTTCATTAACTAGAGGAAGTGCAAAAAAGAAGAAGTAAAGTCTAATAATGAGGAAGTATTGAGTCAAAATCTAGTTCATTAACTAGAGGAAGTGCAGGAGGAAAAAGAGGAAGTAAAGTCTAATAATGAGGAAGTATGGAGTTAAAGTCTAGTTCAGTAACGAGAGGAACTGCACAAGAAAAAAGAGGAAGTAAAGTTTAAAAATAAGGAAGCATGGAGTTAAAATCTAGTAAAGAGGAAGTGTAGAAAGAAAAAAGATAAATCAAAATTTGATAAAGAGGAAGTATGGAGTTAAAATCTAGTAAAGAGGAAGTGCAGAGGGAAAAAGAGGAAGCAAAGTTTGATAAAGAGGAAGTATGGAGTTAAAATCTATTAAAGAGGAAGTGCAGGAGAAAAAAAGAAGAAGTAAAGTTTAATAATGAGGAAGTATCTAGTTCAAATACGAGGAAGTATTGAAGGAAAAGGAGAAGTTAGACATTAATAAAGGAGGAAGTATGGCATGTAATAAAAATAATAATTGTCAACAACGACAAAGTAAGAAAAAAATCAAGCTTTAAAATGAAAAATTTAAAGAAATAACAATCTTAAAGTAAAGTTATTCAAGGAGAATACAATCACTTTGTGTGTGTTCCATATTAGTCAATTTCAATCGAGTTTTTGCACTGTAAACTCCGCTTCATTTAAAGTACCAGACCTACAGAGCAAGTTGTACAGCTTTTGTACAGGCCATTGAAGGTAAAACGGGGTAGTACGTACACCAAATGAATCATATCTTTCTAGGGAGTTTAAAGGGACTGTAAGCATAATTTCAACTAATCCTCCATGAACAGATTGCATTGCCTGATTCACAACAGTACCCTTAAAAGCTTTGTCTGATCAAATATGACGTAGGTATCAATCTTTATAATTTTGAATATTAATTATTTATAATTGTGTTTCCTACTGTATATAGGGATTATAAAAATAAACACTTTTAAACCTAGAAAAACAACAACATCCTCCAAATTATCGATCAGATAAAGGTTTCAAGGGAACCGATGTGTATTGAGCATTGTCACTTGTACTTAGGCTTACAGTCCCTATCATATCACATGTACTTAGGCGTACAGTCCCTTTTCTGTCACATGTACTTGGGCGTACAGTCCCTTTTCTGTCACTTGTACTTAGGCGTGCAGTCCCTTATCTGTCAAATGTACTTAGGGGTACAGTCCCTTTTTTGCCACTTGTACTTAGGCGTACAGTCCCTTATCTGTCACTTGTACTTAGGCATACAGTCCCTTTTCTGTCACTTGTACTAAGGCGTAGAGTCCCTTTCCGTCACTTGTACTTAGGCGAACAGTCCCTTTCCGTCACTTGTACTTAGGCTTACAGTCCCTTTTCTGTTACTTGTACTTAGGCATACAGTCCCTTTTCTGTCACTTGTACTTAGGCATACAGTCCCTTTTTCTGTCACTTGTACTTAGGCGTACAGTCCCTTATCTGTCACTTGTACCTAAGCGTACAGTCCCTTTTCTGTCACTTGTACCTAAGCGTACACGCGTCCCTTTTCTGCCACTTGTACTTAGGCGCGTACAAGCCCTTTTCTGTCACTTGTACTTAGGCCTTAAGTTTAGTATAACATTTTATAAGAATAAATTAAGTATCCGATTATTAAATTACTTATCAATAGTCTACATGCTAAAATTATTCCAAAGGTATTTACATGTCTGCAGCTAATTATCCATAATAAGTCCCTTCCCCCCACTTTTTCAGGGAACTATAGGTATGTGTTTGATATTGTTCAAAGTTAAATACTTCCAATATTCTATTAAAATATTATTATCTATCATTAAAAGAATCAGTTAATTAAATTCAAATTCCTTGGACTAAATTACAGATATTAAATAAGTAATTAAGTAATTAAACACAGTTTTTATTGTATTTTTTCATATCATTCAGGTGGTAGCACGTGAAGATAAATATACGTATAGAAACAAATATTTAGTAGAAAGAAATTAAGTGTTTTTCTAACCCTTACATCTTTTCAAGCTAATAATATTGTAGACCTGGCTTAGATATGTCTAAATATGATTTCTGTCAGATAAAATAATCTAAGTTTAAAATATCAAAGGTTTCCACCATCAGATATACAGGGATAAGACAATTTTTAGTTTGTGGGAAAGACTCAATTCCTTTCGGGTTTAACTGTCTTGTGTAATTTTCAATATTTCGATATGTTTCGAAGTGTTAAACTTTAACTATTTTCAAAAATGTCAAGTGATTCAAATTGACCTTAAAAATGGACAATTTTTAATTATTTAGATATTAGACTTTTGCACTTTTTTAAAGTAGTTTAATTTTGAGATGATATTTAGAAGGGTTAGTTTTTATAATAAACAAAAATTGTTATTATCTATGTTACAAAGCTCCTGGCTCATATACTGCCAAACAGCTTAACCAAACTGGTTGATTTTTTGGCTATGTGTAACGTGGGCAAAACATTTTTTTTCTCAAAAAGTGTTAATAAAATTCCACGGACAACGCCGGACACTTCAGCTAGTTAGTTTATATGATTATATTTATGTTTATATTTATTTTAATTATTCAATACTTTCCTATACTTAGTAATGTTGAAATTGGCGAATTTGCTCAAGATTTAAGAAAATGATTACGTCAACAGATTTTACAGTTTTTGTGCGAAATATGAGGATATAAGATTTAAACGAGATTCGTGCAGTCGCAATAAAATTTTTCCTAATTTTTGCAGTTTTCAGATCTTTTCACATTTTTGTCATAAATCCAGAAATATCCAGTAACTTAAATAAAATACAAATTAGATCAATTTTTAATTCATTTTCTAAAGAAAAAAATCAGGAATTTCATTTTTTGTATATTTTGGAGTTGTTTTTTAATTGTTAACAGAAAAATTTGTTTCTGCCTTTTCAACGATAAACTTTTCAGTATTTTTTATCTGCAAATAACATCACAGTTATTAATTGTAAAATTCTGATAACTTCAAAGTCAAAGAAATTATTTTATCAAGTATTAATTTCTTTTATCAAAACTAATAATTTCCTTAATTTTCTTATCTTTACTTTTCATTTTGAAAAAAGAAAAAAGTAAAAATTTTCGGGTTAAGCTTTAAACATATATTATAATAATCAGATATTGAAATCATGTTTCATAATAATTAGATATTTAAATAAATTTCATAATAATTAGATATTTAAATATATTTCATAATAATTAGATATGGAGAGCCGGTTTATCATTTTTGCACAGGATTATTTCTCACAAATATTTGAAAGTGGGTTTAATCAAAGCTTAGATAATTTATAATCTAGGTTTTTTAAACTTCTGATTTAATGGGTTCAATGAAACATTTGTGACATATATTTAGAATTTTTAACCCTGAGAAAATCAATTAAATATATTTGAAACCTAAGTATAATCTTAAAATGTTTTTAATTCCTATGATGTGACCCTCCATCTTCATATATAAAATAGTAATATCTGTTTGTTTGTCTAATTGAATTTCCAATCATAACTCATGAACCCCTCGGCCAATATACAATATAAATAGAGGATCAATTAAAACTACGTCTCACGTCAGACTAAAGTAAAAATCTTAAATGTTTTTCTGCATAACTTCTTTAACTGAAGAGCTATTAAAGAGAACAAAATTGTTTTGAATTGATAATATGTAAAAAATAAATTTGCTTTACTCCTACTTGTTTATAAAAATAAAACTAGAAGAACAACGAGATCACAAAGGTTTACCGATAATGTCAATTGAATTTTACCTTCTCCTCCTGGTTAGTTTCCAGTGGTCTATATAAGATGTATGGATGAAAACAAATGGTTTAAAAAAATATACCTTAATTGTCTTAAATTTTTGGATTTAGGAAACACAACTTTTGTCTTAAAGGGACTTTCGGTGTAGTTTTAAGTGATCCTTAATTTTAAGGGTAACTGCTCATTGCCCATTTCACAACAGTGCCCTTTGAAACCTTAATAATCTAATTTTAAGACCTGAAAAGTGTTTAATTCTGATAATTTCTCCATTGTTTTTTAGCTAAAAATGCGCAAGTCACCTTCGCAGAGAAACCCAAAATAAAATTATAAACAGGTTTTAGAAACAAAACTTACTTGCACAAACAAAGCTTTTAAGGGTATTGTTCTTAATCAGACGTGCCATAGGGGGTCACTTAAAGACCCTTACAAGATGCACCTGGGGGTTTAGAAGGTCTAAAAACGCCCTATAATCTATAATTAGTGCATTTCGGCAGAAAATCAAATAGTTATTTTTTGTATTTTTTTGGAGCATTATTTCGAATGAAGAAAAGTATTTCAATAACTAAACAAGTTAAAAATCCCCTAAAAAAAGCTGAAGTTTTACAGAGACTGCAGAGTGCAGAATTGCAGCGAAAAATGCAATGCATCATTCATGTAAATTGCACATATGTAAATGACTTTTCGAAAATGACAACAATGTTCAATAAATGGAAGTGCTAAATTTTGAGGATTCTTAATCAAACACATAGACATTTTTTTGTTTGAACGTGCTTAAAACACCAATATTGAAGGAAAATTTATCGCTAATAGAAACAAAATTGCTTAAATTGACGAATTACAGGAATTATTTGTTAAAATTGGCCATTTATGCAGATATTGATTACAAAAGTTGATCTGCGGTATAATTCTTGAATCTCGGTAGATCAATTTAATCGATTTCAGAATTGATCTGTTACCCTTTAGTCCCCACCTGTGCGGGGGGGGGGGCAGGTCCGGTTTTTCTCTCCGGTATGCCGGACCGGACCCTGCGGGTGTATGAGCCGGGTTGAGCCGGGTTTATTGTCGGGAGACGGAGAGGTGAGCGGAGTCGGACTCTCGGACAGACAGTTTAGCTTGATACTTACTCCAGGATACACTAGAAATACAGCCCGTCCTACACTGTTATGTTACGGATACAGTGATACACAAATCGTCAAACACTTGATACATGATGGTTCAGTCAGCTTTTATTCTCATCCTTCCTCTCATACATACAGGTTTAGAACATCTTATTTTTTATTATTGTTTTTTTATATTTCTAAACACAAAGTACAAGCTACTAAGAAATAGGCCTAACTAACTTTATACAGTTCAAACAAATATAACTTTTTATAGATTGTAGGCAATTAACAATATTAACAATATCTTAAAAATAGAAAATAGTATAGCTTGGTTTCAAGCAATAATAAACAATGTTTAGTTTTAATACAGTTTAATGACATTATGTTGTAAACAAAACATTGGGTTTTAATTAAATCTCTACGGGGTAGTTGAAAAACAACTTAAATAACTGGTTTCCCCAGTTTACATGTTTATACTTATTTTTATATATAAATATATATATATATATATATATATAAATATATATATATATACATATATTTTATATACAGTTTTATACCATGGGAATTTCTTTAGAACACTGATGAGTGATGACAAACTAGATAAAAATATTGTATGCCAAAATCGGAATCCAAATTTAAAAAACCTATTTTTTATAGTTCTGATTCTTGTAAAATGGATTCATAATGTGTATTAAGAAAAAAATGGCAAATGGTGAAAATCACATTATTTATAATGTTCTGAAATTCTGAGAATTCATATTTTGTTCAGCACACCTTATTGGATGTACATTTTAACACATATTAAACCCCCCCCCCCATCACTTTTAAAGATTTAATACATAGAAATATATACTTTAAACTTTGCTCTTATTAAAAATTTGCTATTGGGGTTAATCGGACATATTGCAACTGCTCATCTTGTAGATAGTTAATAAAATTAATTCTTATTCAATTTGTTTTCTGCGCGTTAATAAACACATTTTCTTCAGTTTAGAATTCCTCAATACCCTCCCCCCCCCCAGCAACATTTTTAAATAGTTTAAATACTGAAACGTCAATTGTTGAAAAACGTGTTGATAATAATAAACATTAGTTTTTAACACAATGAACTGTATTAACTGTATTACTGTATAATTAATGGCGTAATTAAGAAAATGTTATTGCTTTTTTAGTTTTTGCAGTAAAGATACCTTTCGTTTGATGTCGATAATCATTGTGTAATTCTAAAAATAGTAGAAATAATCACAAAATCAAGTCTTGCAACTGTCCTTTCTTCTAATGTTAATCTTTTACATCTTGCATTGTGAAGGTTAGTTTTACATTGTCATTCCCCAGTACGTTTTAGACATGGAGATCCTAGTTTGAAAAATGTCCTGTCCTAAACGTGTGTCCTGATTTTCTAAAAATGTATAGAAAATGTCGAATATAGTTTTCGTAGAGCCTAGGTTTATTGATCTAACAGTGAACTGAACAAATAAACTGAGTTGTGCAGTGCAGACTATCTTTGCAAAAATGGCAAGAATTTGCAGGCTTTAACCTCCCATACATCTTACTATAGTATTGCACATAGAGAGACCGTGCAAATTGTAATTAATGAAAATTAGAAAAATGTAAACAACACGTTTAACAGGTCACATATAAGACATTGCAGTCAGAAGCTGACATATAGTGTCCCATCACGCCATGCTACAGTTCCATGAAAGGTTTTTTGACTGCCATCTAACGGCCTCTTGTGGCATAAAATACCAAATGAGGGGTAAAGCTTGTAACTTTTAACTTAATACTCCAATTTTTAGCATGAAGAAAAAATTTATGAATTTAGTCTATTTCTGAAGATTTTGTATTTCGTTTCCAATGGATCCTTAAAATATTCCTGAATACAGATGTCTGCTGATTGGTCGTGTACAGTACTTGTACACAAAAGAACCTGCCGATGAAAATATCGCAGTACACTGAAAAAAATATAGGGGCCATGGTACTTAGATTTAAAATGTCTAATAAAACAATCTTTATCTTATAGTTTTAATATTTATTAAATATAAGCTTTAAACATGATATTATTATACTTTAATTCCTTAGATCTTTAATATCAAATTAAATATATGTATTTATGATAATCTTTGTTCTCTGCTCTACCAAACTGGCATTAGATAAAAAGATCAATAATACCAAAATGGTCAATTTTTAATTCATGAAAAGGTTAATTTTAATGCATGAATAGGAGAGAAAAATGAGCATCAACGTTTAAAATTTAATTGAATTATGTATTCATTTTTTATTTCTAGTTTTGAGTCATCGTTGCTTCGTGTGCTCACCAGATAATCAGAAGCTAGAAGATATGGTTCAGCTGAAACGAAATTTTCCGGAACGACAGGTACAGAAACGTTGTACATAAACGTTGTACATAAACGTTGTACATAAACGTTGTACATAAACGCTGTACAGAAACGTTGTACACACACGTTTCGTGCATAATTTATGTACAGCGGCATCCTTAAACCTGTGGAATAGAAAGATGATATTAAATAAATTGTATAAATTATGAAAAAATTTCAATAGTCTAGATAAAATTTCTTGAATTGTGTTTTTCAGTTTTTTGTCAAAACTGTAGATCTAGCAATCTTTTAAAAAAACTTTATTTTTAGATCCCCCTGTGCAGTGAATACAAACACAGTTTAAAACAGAATTATCTGATAGAGTGTCCCAAGAACAGTAATGGATGCCTTACAAAATTCGAAGGTAAAATTTATATTATTAGCAATTCTTTTTTCAAGGTTTATTAATTTTTTATATTAAGAGGCTTTAGTGATTATAGATAATTGTTAAAATTTGTGATTCTCGCCTTATATATGAAATACGGTACAATGTTTTAAAGCTATTTTATTTTAAAATATAATAGATTAAACATTTCAAACATTCTTGTAAGCCTCAGGTAAAAAGCCAATACACCTTGAATGTGTAAAAACGGACCAAAATGGTGATATCCCTTGTGAAGAGCTTGTGAAGTTGTGTTGGGTAATTGCTCGGATTTCGTGGATTTTACTTACGAGCCCTTTAATTCCGGGCAATTCCGTGTAATTCCGTGTAATTCCGCACTATTCTGGCAGAATTCCGCACTATTCTAGCAGAATTCCGCACAATTCGAGCAGAATTCCGAGAAATTTCGCACAATTCCGCACAATTCCACGCAATTCCGCACAATTCCGCACAATGGAATTCCGATTGGAAAGCCTAGTTTTACGTGCTTGTGTGAATATTGTGTATTGTATGTAAGCTGAAGAATGCATTGTTAAGGTTTAGAGAATGCTCCAGGTTTAAGATTTAAATCTATACATGCATCTCAATATATACTCATACATAAGGGTCTTCACAAGATTTTAAAATTAAAGAGCCAAAAGCATAAAATTTTACAAATTAAGAACAACATAAAAAAATGTACAATTTAAGAACACACTTACCAATTATCAGGTGCAAGCAAATTAATTAGTGACATAAAATCATTTTAGGGTTTTTGCAAAAATTTAAAAATTAAACACAAAGATTTTAAATTTATAATTCTTTAAACTTTTATTAACCCCTGAACCCCTGGTAACCCCCCTTNCCACCTTCCTTCCTCACAGACAAGTTTTTGCCCTTACTTTCAAATATATTAGATGTTACTGTCAAAAAAATCTGCAGTGAACTGAATAAAACTGTCACTTGTCTAATACCTCGTGCAGTAAAAAAACACAAATATTGGTTTTTTAACAATCCAAGTAAATCAATTTTCCTTTCAAATTTTAGCGTTTTTAATCTTAAACTTTTTCTAGATGATGGCTCAGTAATGCGGACCTGCGCCCCAATAGGGATTGATGATTGTAAGAAAGCTAACTCTGTAAACTACTGCTATTGTAGCAAGGATGGATGCAATACACCAGATCGTAGACTGTCCCAACCAGAGGGTTGGGCGGAGAGCAAACCACGACATGGACACGAGCTCGACCTCTCTGCACCTCGGATACAAGCGACAGACCGGTTGACCGACAAGAAACATTCACCGGTGCCGGTAAATCAACCGCCGACGGACGACGAGGATGCGGAGGAAGGTTCCGGCGGGGACGATTGGGGATCCTTTTACTATGACAGTTATTACGATACGCTCTACGACAAGAACCTCGGCGGCGGGTTGAACTACGATACAGAGCCAGGATTCGGCGATCCAGACAACGCCGATATGACTGAGCCCCCGCCGTTTATTGAGCAGGAGCTGGAGGAGGAGCTGGAGAAGATCAGCAGGATCTCCAACCACAAGTATGACAGGGAGTTGGAGAAGGAACTGGAGAACGAGATAATCCTAGTGGAGGAGACGATACCTGTAGTTCCTAGAGGAAGTGGAGCTGATATCAGACATATCCAATCTCTTCTGCTTCTCTTTCCTCTTCTCAGATATCTTCTCTCATAAATCCGTCCTGGGCTTTAATGTTCCTTTTGGACTGGATATCTCCTTATCCCCCTAGACTGGATATTTCCACGTCCCCTCCTGAACTGGATATCCCCTCTCCTGGACTGGATATCCCCTTCTCCTGGACTGGATATCCCCCCCTCCCCTCCTGGAATGGCTGTGAGTAAGGACAAGGTCTGGCTTCAACTGAATTATGATAAAGTGCCAATCTTTCACAACTCTTCATCTAGAGCTTAACTTTACGTAACATCACGTGACACTACGTGGACGTTACGTGACATTACGTGACAAGACGTAAACGTTATGTGACCTCACTTATCAAAGTGGTAAACTGTTTACCACCACTTATTGTGAATGTTTTGAGCTAGGACGGATACAGGGGGGGGGGCTTGAGGTCACACGTCCCTTCCTCTGAATAGGGGTAAAAGTGAACTCCCCCCCTCTGGATGAATCCCTGTATACGCGCCGGATTGTTATTAAACTAAACTTCTAGATCTCGGGGTCTAGTGACTTACTTGTTCAGATTTTTCGTAAATGTGAAAATTATTTAATTTCATTGTTTTAGATCTTGCACCTTGAATATTCATGTAATTAACTGTGATAGATTTATTTTATTTTAGTTTATATTATTATATTTGTTAAAAATGTATTTTATTATATTTTCATAAATTAGAAACCATCCGAAAATAGAATAAAAAAATTGTATAATTTAATATGTTTAAATCAGAGAGAGTTGTCAAAAAAGTTTTTTTCTTTTATTTAGGCTCTGTGCAAATGAACAAGATTTGTTACAATCCCAAATTGCTTGTACATAATTGGCAATTTGAAATATATTAATTTAATTGGTAATAGTTAACATTTTGGGGAAAAGAAAATGTTCAGTTTTCAAAAATTATAAAATCAAACTTTTATATTAAAATGAGTTTGGATAATAAAGGAAATTTTAGTATATTTCCACGTCACCCAAATAAGCTTTACGAAAAAAACTTCCTTTTTCTTGAGTATAATTAAATGTCATAATTCTGAATTATTTTAAGACCTTTTGAGAGTTAAACAATCTGTTTAAAACGAGAGAAAAGTCTCACTTGAGATTCGAACTGAAACTCCTGATCTTTTAAGCGATAAAAAGAAAGTTTTCAAAGGTCAAATCAGACCTATTAAAAATGAGACATCGTACTGTAACGTAAAAATGAAGATAAGAAGATGAATGCTGACTGAGGCCTGAAATTATGAAGAAATAAGAAAATTTATGAAAATTAATAAGTGCGTTTTCTCGCAAGGAGCGGGGCCCGGGGGGGGGGTATCTTTTGATTTCCACTTTTTTTTAAGAAGGGGGTTCGTTGACCCCTCGAACTGTTTTGAGGGCTTGGGGCCGCTAAATATAATTTTTCTACTAAAAAAAACTATTAAACATTACAAAATCCTGAGATCCTTAAATTATCAACTCGTCTCCCTTTGAATTATATATAATATTTACAGAAAAGTATAAAAAACTGTTTTATAAAATAATTATTATGAAACTTTTTTTTATAAAAAGAGTGAAAGATCAAGATTTATGAAGTCGATTAAAGCAAATGTTAAAGTATTAATTACAAAATTCTGGCAGTACAGCTTTAACTAATAAAATTTAATCCAATTCATGCATTACTTTTAGTCCTTTCATGTTAACTCACGAAACATCAAATAGAAATGTTCAAAAATCAATATTTTTGTTTTGGATGGGGCAAACTTATTCGTTTGAAATCCGCAATTTCATAACTAGAAAAGTTGCAAAACTATAGTTTTTAATTTTCGACAAAAAAGCAATATCTTTATATTTATGTATGCGAAATAGAAAGGTTGAAAATAGGGTTCTATTGATCTCTTTTTATAAGCTGCAACTTCTACCAGTATTCTCTTTTTTGTAAAATAGGGTTCTATTGGTCTCTTTTATAAGCTGCAACTATTATCAGTATTCACTTTAGCAAAATAGGGTTCTATTGGTCTCTTTTATAACCTGCAACTACTATCAGTATTCCCTAAAACAAAATAGGGTTCTATTGGTCTCTTTTATAAGCTACAACTACTATCAGTATTTACTTTAACAAAATAGGGTTCTATTGGTCTCTTTTATAAGCTGCAACTACTATCAGTATTCCCTAAAACAAAATAGGGTTCTATTGGTCTCTTTTATAAGCTGCAAGTACTATCAGTATTCTCTTTAGCAAAATAGGGTTCTATTGGTCTCTTTTATAAGCTGCAAGTACTATCAGTATTCTCTTCAGCAAAATAGGGTCTATTGGTCTCTTTTATAAGCTGCAACTACTATCAGTATTCCCTTTAGCAAAATAGGGTTCTATTGGTCTCTTTTAAAAGCTGCAAGTACTATCAGTATTCTCTTTAGCAAAATGGGACGCAATAATGAAACAATTATATTGCTCACGCACATCTGCCCCTTTAGTAAAAGTAAATTCAACCTATAGGAAGAAAAAAGTCTGACCGAGTCAACCTTGTTGCACCGGCTAGTCCTGTCCATAGAGCTAATTACAGTACAAACTGGGACCGAAAAGGTTGACCCGGCTCGGAAATTCAAATGTACTACGGCTGCCCGTGATAGTATATGTAGAATACAGTAATGATGACGTTGAAAGCACACTTTTGTGGAAATGGAATTAAAAGGAAATATTAAGGACGCGCAAACATACATAGCTATTAGCTAGTTTCATAAACATACATAGCTACTAGCTAGTTTCATAAACATACATTGCTACTAGCTAGTTTCATAAACAAAATATTAGAGTATAAGTTTGGAAACCCAGCTTTGCCTTGTAACTAAACTTTCTCTAAATAACCAACCCACGCAATTTAAATTACCAAGCTAAGAAAATCAAAGTTTGAGGCAAACCGGTCAGGGAGTTTCTGAGTTATGATCGAATATACAAAAAGAGATTACTACTTTATACATATAGATAATAGTATGGAGTTTAGGAATAGCCTAGACTGCTTGACTGCTTGATTATGTATAGACTAGACTAGACTAGACTAGACTAGCCTAGACTGCTTGATTATGTATAAACTAGACTAGACAGACTAGACTAGACTAGACTAGACTAGACTAGACTATCTATATATAAACTTGTCTTGTTTGTTTGTATCCAATAAACGTCAAAACGGCTGAATCGAACGGGCCCAAATTTTGTGTGGGACCTCACACGACCCAGGGAAGGTTTATGAATGATCAAAATTTCACAAATTAGCCTCCAACGAAAATTTAATTGTCATTAAATTTGTTGTTTATTTTTGTTTTTAATGTATGCTTAGAGAAAAGGTTCACAATTGAAATAAAAGATGGGCGCGAAGCACCCTGAAAGCCGAGTACACTGGACCAGACTAGACTGTTTGACTTCTTGACCATGCACAGACTAGACTAGACTAGACTTCTTGACCATGCACAGACTAGACTAGACTAGACTGCTTGACTGCTTGACCATGCACAGATTAGACTAGACTAGACTAGACTAGACTAGACTAGACTAGACTAGACTAGACTAGACTGCTTGACTGCTTGACCATGCACAGAGTAGACTAGACTAGACTAGACTGCTTGACTGCTTGACCATGTATATTCTGGAGACAAGAAGATAAGACAATTAGATAAACAGAACTGCGCAACAAAACATATGTCGTGTTACCAAGGGGGATAAATAGGATAGGTGGGGAAGAAGGGTATGCAGGACAGGAAGGACAGGAAGGACAGGAAGGGTAGGAAGGACAGGAAGGGTAAGAAGGACAGGAAGGGTAAGAAGGACAGGAAGGGTGGGAAGGACAGGAAGGGTGGGAAGGACAGGAAGGGTAGGAAGGGTAGGAAGGGTAGGAAGGACAGGAAGAACAGGAAGGATAGAAAGGGTAGGAAGGACAGGAAGGAAAGGAAGGACAGGAAGGACAGGAAAGACAGGAAGGCATGAAGGAAATGAAAGACAGGCAGGATAAGAAGAGCAGAAAAGAAAAGAGGTCAGAGAGGACATGAATGGTAGGAAGGACAGGAAGGACAGAAAGAAAAGAAAGGACAGGAAGGGTAAGATGGACAGGAAGGATAGGAAGGACAAGAAGGGTAGGAAGGGCAGGAAGGGTAGGAAGGACGGGAAGGACAGGAAGGATAGGAAGGACAGGAATGACAGGAAGGCATGAAGGAAATGAAAGACAGCTAAGATAAGGAGAACAGAAAGGAAAACAGGACAGAGAGGACAGGAAGGTATGAAGGACAGGTAGGGCAGGGAGGGCAGGGAGGGCAGGAAGGACAGAAGGATAGGAAGGACAGAAAGGATAGGAAGGACAGGAAGGGTTGGAAGGACAGGAAGGATAGGAAGGACGGGAAGGGTTGGAAGGATAGGAAGGACAGGAATGGTAGGAAGGATAGGAAGGACAGGAAAGACAGGAAGGGTTGGAAGGAAAGATAGGGCAAGAAGGACAGAAAGGACAGGAATGCAGGAAGGACAGAGAGGACAGGAAAGGTAGGAAGGAAAGGAGAAACTTGCAAACTGTCCGGATAAAAAATGAGTTTTCCAACTCATATTTTCTAAATTATTTTTGAGGGAGACAAAGTAGGTGTTCTGGGGTTGAAATTTTAGTCAAATAAATCAGTCCGTAACAATTAAATTCAGCCTGTTTATCATGGGCCTGGAACGAGGGAGGGGGTGGGGGGGTTGTTACGGACACACATATTTTCAAATCTAGAGGATGATAATTTGATGTCATAGACCATTGATGTGTCACAGAATACGAAAAATTCGGAATTTGCTTTTAGTGCTTTTAGTTTATTTCCGAATCCAAATGTATTTAAGCGAAATGTGAAATGTAAAGTTTAGACAATGTTTTCGAGTATTTATAAATATTTTATGAATTGCATCATCATCAGATTTTTTATCTCTGCAGATAAATCGAGTTTGCAGTTTAAGAATCATATCTGCAATTATGCATAAACATTAAATGCAGTTTTAGAAGTATGTTTATTTTATATGAAGTTTACCGCACAAAAATCAGTTTTGAAGTGTTTTCGGTATTTTTCTCTGAGTTCTGACTTATGACCCCCCCCCCACACGCCAAATATTAAGTTTTTACATCTCTGCATTATTTGTCTGGTCGAGGTCGGTCAATCACGAAGCCTGATCTAGCCACAGTGCTCGGTCATGAACTTACATCAACCAGACCTTATTTAGAATATCATAGTTGTACATTTTTTAATTAACAAATAATTTTCTAAAAACGCGATGTGTCTCTTTAAATCTCTAAAAACGTAATATTTCCCTTTAAGTCATAAATATGTTGAAACGTTACTTGTTCCTTTAAGAATGCCGACGTTGCTGAAAATGAACTACACATGTGAATTCAATACATTGTTTCTCATTGTTCAAACTTATTTTAATTCTTAAAAACAACTTTTTTCAAGACTTAAAATACTGCATAATCAACACCAATAATAATAATCAAACGTTTTGTTAAAATCCGGTAAAAAAACTAATTTTATTCTATTATGATGGTACAGGGCTAATCACAACGGACGAGACTGAAAATATTTAAATATGACGATTCCAAAGTAAAATAAAGTTTTTGCATTGAATAAAATCTGTTAATGGCTTATA